ATTTTGGATATCAAAGATGGAATTTAAAAGGGGAGAGATGGACAAGCAGAAGCATGGGATTGTGCATCTTGCGCACAGCTAAAAAAATGTTGGACGTCATCGAATTTGGCAGATTCATCATTAAAAGTATAAAAACGATTTTAAATTGACGTCTAAAAAAAGCGCCTTGAGTATGTGCAATATGTGTGCAGCAGCTACACGATGAGCTTAGTCAGTGTGACAGAATCGTATCATTCATAAATCAGGAATTAGCATAACGCAGATGGGGGTGTGAGTATTAAAGAAGAAAGTTTTTAAGATTTGCTCTAGCAGTTAATTAGGATTTTTGTTGAAGTATTTAATGCAAAATTCAGAATCTGAAAGCATCTTAGAATTGGGAACGGGAGTAAGTTGCAAGTTAGCTTATATGTCTAAATTGTAAATATACCCTATAAAATTTCATCTACGAATGACATGGGAAATGCAAGCTTAACACATTTGGTCCATTCTAACCCTTGGCGTAAATTATCCTAAGATTTTGCGTACATTTTGGATATCTCGGACGGGTGGTTGAGCATCTTCTTAGCATTCGTGTTAATTACGCACCAAAATGAAAAGTTCGACCAACGGGTGTTAATGCAGGCAAATTGGCATCCATTCAAACAGATCAAACCATCACGTTATTTTTAAAAAGGATTTTCCTGAAATGCAGTTACTACTTCTGAGCACCTACGTGCATTAAATGATTCCTAGCACATTTCCCATGATAAACCTATACCACACCGAAACATGTGTGACTGAAATTCATCAAGCAGTAGATGATTTAATCGCTGAGCACATTATTTGCCACTGAATATGCTTACCGAATGACATTCAGTAAGATGTATAATTACAAATGCAAGACTACTTGTTGCTAACGGAATAGACTAAATTAGTATATGAATACGACTGCGACCTTGTTGTAAGAAATATCAATAAATTTGCTTGGCTCATCCAATGCTTTTGTCCTACATTGGAGCAGTGAAACTTACTGCAATGAATGCAAAATAAGGAACAATTTAATGCAACTAATGTGTTTAATTTAATTCCTGCAATGTGAAGTCATTAAGAAATGTGTTTTTGCAAATAGAATGCGACAAAATATTGCCGGACAATAACAGAATGTATGCTAGGGTAAGGCAAAAGATTTCGACCTTTGTAGAAAGCAAATAATTTTGCCAGGAGGTCGATGGCGCTTATAACAGAAATGTAGACAAGTGGTGAAATACTGTTCCATTAGGATAAACTGTTACACTGCCAGCTGCCAATGTTGTTGTTGGTCTCGTGGTGGCGACAGTGGTAGGAGGATGGGTCATCCTATAAGTAGTGACGGCAGCTCGGAGCTTTTCTGTATTCTTCGGTTCTGAATTTTCTTATGACAGATGTAATGAATATTTCTCCATCTGTCTGAGCATTAGTTGCTGATGGTGCTGTTCACTGCTTAGCGATTTTTTAGGCGCAGCTACAGTATTCCCAAGATGAGCACAGGAAATTAAAGTAAAATCTTTTAAGCATGAGAGATAAAGAGCTGGTAAAACAGCGTGCATGTGATTTGCACTGTAAGCTTAATTATGACACGAATTCCTTTAATCTTTAGGAAAATGTTTTTTATTCCCTTCTTCTAATTGCACTTGAGAAATTTGAGTGGTTTTTTGGATTTAAAATTTTATTTCAAATATGTGCCTAACAAACTTTAAAATATTGGTTCAAGCACTTCATTTCATGCACTTGCCTTGAAGTCACATCTGACGTGTGTGCAGCCTCAACTGTTGCCGGTGCTAATATTTCAGCTGTCATGATAATAGTTCCACAATTCGTCGGGCAATATGGTGATGGTTGACTGCTATGATCAGAAATTGCGATGTCTAAAACAAGGTGCATTAAATGAGTACCGTGATGTCTGTGCAGTCTTATGGTAAACTTGATACTCGTGACGGATGCGATTCATTGGAAAATCTGGATTTTGCACAAGTGCGTGTAGACAGATACATTTCGACCACAGTGCATGTCGCCTAGTAGCTAGGGTGAAATATCAATCTCCCCAGATTAATTTAAGCAATAACTTATGACAATTTGTTGGATGTCTTGTCATTCCTTTAGTTAAATTCGCACTTTTCCACTTTGCACTAAGTTAGTTTACCAGCATTGTAGAGACCTGTGTTTTTACAAATTCCTGACTCGCTGCGCCAGATAAAACAAGCATTTTAGTGCAATGGGTTCTGGGTTTGTCTCTTTCGCCCCGACTCCCATTAGAAAATGGCGCGCTTCAATAATAGCATCTTGAAAGTATTACAGTGGTCAGTATTATGTTAATGTCGACAATACTTCCTCCGCCCGGAGGTGGATAACGTCCGTTCCGTCACAAGATTCGGTTTCCTTGATCGCTCCTCATCTAAAAAGTGCATTCAAGCAAATATATCTTGGGTCAGCATTCCGGCAAGATACAAACGTTATTAGTAATCCATCCTTTCGAGGCGTCTAGCTCAAGTACCTAAGTACGCATCCCAGAGAATACGAGTCTATCGGTTTTCAGCATCAAAACCCCAATATGGCATGCTCCTCAACATTTCGTTTCGAAAGCAAAGTTATTATCTTAATGACAAAAAATTATTTGTCTAACATGGACATCCGTCTATTCAATTCAAAAATTGGTAAACAAAGCCTGGGGAGAGCCTAATAAATCTAAAGCACTTTCTGGTAGCCAAGGCAGAACCAATGGTTGAATCTGGCCTTTCAAAGCCACATTTTGAAGTCTCTGTTATTTTTGAAACTTGAGAGGTTCTCCAACACCACTGCCAGGGTGCTAGGCTCCACTTTAATCCATCTCATGCCAGCCTGCTTAACTTTGAAGCAAGTATGCTAATTGGATAAGGGCATTCTTCAGTAGCATTGGTAGTTTTACAGGTGGAATACAATGGCCAAATTGTATCATTGGCGCTGCAAAGGGATAAACTAAAATTCACCTGCAATTCTACAATTTAATTAACCATGAGGGGAAAGATATAACATTGAAGGTCTCACTCATTATCCTGGTATATCATCTTATTATTTTCTTTATCGAGCAACTGGAATTTAAGCCTTGGATGGTGCAGCAATGCGCACACTACTGGGTTCATTCCATGCATCATCCAGGGTTACACCATTTAAGATGCTTGTAGGTCATGAAGTGAGAGTATCAACCGAGGTTTCAAAAACCAAAAGTGGAAATGACAACCCACAATGAAACCAAGTACGTATTAAAGACCAAAAAAGAGTGAAAAGTCCAAAAATTGTATAAGAGCACTAAGGACTCTCATTTATAAGGCAGAAGTGACATTACGGCAAACACGGTCAGACGGAGGCATATTACAGCTGTGAAAGCTTACCCTGACATCTAGATTAGAGTGCAAACCTCATCCTCCGTGAAGTAGAGGTGGGATATGAGTAATAAAAGTCATGTCATCAACAAACTACATTGACTGCGATCCACGACCCCTTTATTAATCAAACACCGTTTATATCAACATCTCTAGACGGATGCGAAGATAAAATTGACGTATTGGTGTAAAGGCTAGAACATCGCAAATAGCATGTGCACAGGCCACCCATAAGAGGAGGCCACATGATTCAGGGTTGTTTGAATAAACCCCTCGGGTGAGAGGCGTTCTGGGAACGCGAATCGCATGTCAGAACGGACATCATCTGCCTCTGAGGAGGAAGTGGGCTGTAAACTAGCATAAACATATTCATTGTATTCTGTATATAATGCTAGGAACGAAGACTGCCAGCATCAAATCAGTCTAATAGTACCGCATGAACAGGCGTTGCCGGTGCCGTTACGTGGGGCTTTGGCGGAAATGTGCTCAAAATTCTCCAATTACATAGCGACGAGCAGGACGATATTGTAGGGGTGCAGTCGAAGGTTACTTTGACGTAGCTGTGACCATGAAAGGATTTGCTGTAGCCCTTCAATGATTGTGCGGTTTTGGAATATTACTTAGGCTAGAAGCAATAAAGAAAGGCAAAGGGTAAAAGACTATTGTTTGCTTGACTGCTTGGCTACAAAATAGCCCATCCCTGTGTAATGGTAGGCTTTATCATGACTGCAGAGGTGACTCGGATTATCACAGTGATGATATGCATACTCGACCAAAAGAAAATCTTTGTTTTGTTGATTGGATAACTAGTCCACGAGCCTCACTAAGAAGGCATTGTCCGCGAATAAACGAATTCGCGAACGCACTACTAAATGGTAAAAATGTGGCAGTCTAGTCAAACTAAATTTCCATGCTGGTGAAGTTTGTACTCAACTTTACTAGGTTCGCAGGCACGGCTTATGCTTCTTTAAAACACAGGTGGCCCCCCACTTCATCTGCCACCTTTTGCATTCTGATTGTTTTTATGTTTTTAGGATTCATACTTTGTTGCAAATTCCATGTTAATTAATACTCTGACCTTATTGCTGTAATACTAAGAATCGTCGAAGTTTTCATTCATCCACGGGATCTGTTGTTTCCAGCGGTCAAACGAATAAACTGAATAAGTGTCAACTTTAAGTTACTCGCATCTGTTGAAGGCAGCAACCTAAACCTTAACTTAAGCTAGTGTTACATTTGATGAGGAGCAGGAAGTAGTAATATTTGGATTACCCATTTGTCCTCAGATTGGTTGTTTGGCCATAATAATAGGGTATTTTGTCTTATTTAGGCTGGAAAGGAGAGCTATGACGAATGTAATACCGTATTTCGCTTAGTAATTTGTTGAAAAATACAAGAATTTTACCGAATTTAATGGAAAAGTGCTGCTTTCATCGTCATTTTTATCCATATTAGTGCCGCTAAAAAGTCCAGCATATCATTGGCGAATTGTCCATAGAGTTCCATGCTAATGCTAAGTTGTGCCTTTACCGCGGATAAAAGTGACATAGAAAGCAACATTCCTGTCACGTAACTAGTTGTAATTCCTGAATTTCCTAGCAATCTGTCATGTAGGCAGCCTTTGGCAAAGATATTCTTGCTTCTCTCAGTTGGGCTATTCCCATCAAGCGTTTCTGTGCATAAATGATCCAGACCTCAAAATGGTTTTTGAAATTAGCATCCATACTCTTATCAGGAGTTTGTCAAAGCCAGCTGTTTTTAAATATTCTTAGGGCATAGATGTTGCTTTCGGAGGTGGAAATATATGCTGAAATAGCATCGCGCTTCGTAAAGATTTTTCTTTTTAATCTTCCTTGCGACGCTAGAGTCGGTTCCGAAAAAGAACGTTAGGCAAATCCTATGAAATTAAAGCACAACGTCACTCATGCATTATTCCTAAATTAGTTAGTCTACACTTTGGATGGACATGATCATGACTCGCCAAAGTCAATTGTATCCCTTCAACTATTATGGCATTTGGCGTGTCTTGTGCGGGGCTACGTGGTTACAACCTCATTGGGGTTAACTTCGATCTCGTCCCGGCTACATCGATCCACATCGCTGCAATCAAAGTGGAAAGTTTGTGTAGGACTTTGCTGTTCCACCCAACGACACCATAAACTCATATTCCTCTTTTGCATTTATGACGGAGAAATCAACGAAAACAATTCTAGGAGTGTTGAAATCAGAGTCTACCTGCCACTGAGCAGGCTAACTTTCGCCGAGTGAACTGATTGCTGAATTGCTTTTTAGAAGAGAATTCGTGAACAGTGAAATTCAGACAGTAAATTTTGCTTTAAAGCTATTTATTTTAGTAAGTATTTTGGCTGTCTTATTGGTTAAGATAATATCCAATCAAGTTGGTGCCAATTACCATCGATACGTGGTGAAATGATGTTCACCTATGTCAGGTTTTCTATCAAGTTTCATTTCCAAACGCATAGTTCGGAAGGAATAATTCGTATTTCTCTATTATTTTCTAACCCTATAAACCACTGTTTACAAACGGTATTGTCCTAGTCTCTACCCGTTATTCACCACGTTCGCCTGATAGTAGACAATCCCATAATTACAGGAAAACTGGAAGACAGTTGACAATAGGAATGAGATAGATGGGATATGCCAACGGGCACGCTTTCCTTCGCTTCTTCAAACGAAACATTTACAGAAGTAATCTTGGCATTTAGGCTTTTTCCATTCCAAAAACAGTAATATTCCATGTTTTCTTCCAACAAGATGCCGCAGAAAGATGTCTGCAGCTAAACATTTACATTTTATACACTGTGTTTTCTGTTAGAGCCCTTGACAATGGTGACTTATTTCTATTTTACAAACGAACACTAAATGGGAAGTAGTGGCAACCTGCTTATTTTTAGCGTAGTGGTTGGCGTAGTTGATCCATTCTCTGACTCTACTCCTGGGAGGCGGAACTTAAACATTTCTTTGGTTTAGTTACTTACCCACAGCCATCATTTTCACTACAAATAAGTCGATTATCCAGCACGTGATATATTTTACCTTCACTTAGACTGTTTAGTACCTGTGTCTACTGTCCAACCCTTCTCGTATATTTCTATTGAGCATTTGAAGATTTGCATGCAATATGCGGTACTGCCGCTGACGATGATACAATGGGGACAGATAGACACGTCAGCATGCACTACAGAGCATTTATTATTCTAACTTAGATAAAACGATTTAAAAAGGAGGCATGAGTAGATATACAAATAGAAAAAGTAAGAATTTTGTTGAGGCCAAGTACAGTGTTGCGTAGAGACTGCGCTTAAATGACTTACTTTCAGTTTCATTCAAATATGCAGTTACTTCCCTTCAGTTTTCCAGAGCGAATTCGAGACAGCACACCATCTTTTGATCCACAGTATTTGCTTCCAGCAGCATGTCAATCCCACAGTCGCATCCGAATATGTACGCTGTTTTCCATTTTGGTATACTTTGTTCAACTGCACTTAACCTATCTATGTACATCACATCAACAGTAGCAAATGAATTGCGGCCCCTAAGAAGAGTTGTTTACTCCAGTTTAGAATTCTACAGTACTTCTACGCACTGACCAATCAGATATCTAGTGCTATGCGTGATTTTTTGCGATTTGCCACCTTTGTTTATCTCTGTACTTACTCACGCCTTCTCAGATGCTATTCCCAATCCATGTCATGGCTTGCGGGTTAGAACTGTGCAATCCTTTAAAGTAACGATATGTTTTGGGACCATAGTTAAAATTGGTGAGTTTATGAGACATTCAAATTTTAGCTAAATACTTTCAAGTCAGTACAGTAAATGGAAAGGGTTTTTGCAATAAGTCTGTGGAGACCAGTCACTGCTTTTGTCGCTTTTTTCCTTCAAATCAAATAAAAACTACCCCTAGTTTACTGATACAAGTGTCGTTTACAGAAGTGCAGAAAGATGGAAATGACTTATTTGTTACCTAAATGCTATTTCCTGTACCATGCAAAAAGCACGTGTAAAGCAGGCATAATTGGTGCAGATCGGCTGCTAGCAAAACCGTTTGCTTTGTTTACAAAGTCATTGAATACCTGGAAAGGCGAAACCAAATTAGGCGTGATCTAAAGGCAGACACGTTGGAGTGGCAATCGCTCATGATGAATAACAAAATGAGGCCAAGTTAAACGATTGAAACAGAGCCCTTGATTTTATATCCACATTTAAAATCATACCAATAACGTAAATTTCTTAATTTGATCCAAGTTAACTCGTTATTCAATTGCAAAAATCTTTTGAAATCTGCTGGTCGTTATTGCTACTTGTAACTACCTAATAGAGGAGATATCATAAAGAGTATGTGATGCGTTAGTGGTAGAAGCCAACAAAAGTCGAATGCAATTGGATTCGTGCAGAAAATCAAAGAAATGCAAGGTCCTCAAAATCGACCTGGAATCCGCCTCTCCATTGGGCTGTTTCCATTCCCATTCGATTGTATTCGGTCAGTTCTGAAGGGATTAGGCATGACCGGCGACGATATCATGAAAACGGCAATTTTTCATCATTGTAACAGGATTGCAAACAACAGAACAACAGGGGGATTTGCGAATGCTATTGACGTAGTAAATACAACCGCTCCATTCAAGCATACTTTAGATCACCCTTCATTTGGACTCGATTTGTTTGTGACCCTCACCAGCGTCATGTCAGCGCCGCAAAACACTGAATAAAATTAATACTAAGCATCTGTCTTTACAGATTATGAATACAAAAGGTAGAAAACAGAAATTTTCCCATTTTGGATGACAATAGCGAATGCATTTGCTTTCATTTGCGTCTCCACTTAAGTACTGCCCGTAATTGCTTATTGGATAGAAAAGTACGTGGCGCAACTAGTAGCTACATGGCAAAGAAATTGTGGCATTTGCTTTTACTTATATGTGCTTTACCTTTCCTCTTTTGATTAATGCCAGATTAGAGGCAAATAGAAACGCATTGCAAATCGCTTGTGAGCGCTTACTTGCATTTGTTAATTTTGCTAACGCTCATTGAGTTGTGTAACATCTGAATCAGACCCCCTTCACACTTGATTGGTCACCACAATACTGACGATGACAATCTCGCAAAGTTTACCAGTTAAGTGAGAACGCACAGCTCATAAATGCGTAGTTTGCATTCTCCCATCCAAAACTACATTGCTGTCTGTCGACTCGGTTAATGTTTCTTCTCCTGCTTTCCTTTTTTCTTCTTCATCTTCGTCCCAACGGAAAACGCCTCTTCCTGCTTATGCCTTTTAAGCAACTGTCTCTCCTGCAGTTAGCAATCACCCATGCAATCCTCAATCACTCTGCTCTCTTGACATCACCGAGGTCTCAACATCCTCTGCTGCAGTGACCTCCATTAACACAGAGCAACGGTGCAAACAAAACCTCAAGGATCGACACACGGCCCGAAATCATGAGCATGATGCAATGTTCAATGCTAATTTCTCCACCATTTATCAATCTTTCATCTCCCTCAACAATTCAAATGGCATGATTTCTGCTTCTACTAAATTTGGATATACTGGATCAAGAACTATGCCAATGTCGTATATGTGAAATGCGTTCTACCAATGTACGTATCCAATGCGTAAGGTAGCATCATACTTCAAGGTAGTAAAACCAACTAAAGGTACCCATGCTCTTGCGCATACCATATTATTGTGGCTTAAAGGGAAAACCCTATCACCTGATGATGAAGAGATGACTTTTGCGATGCGCAGGCATAGTATACCGATGAACTAAAACCACCTTTCCAATATGACATGGCATGCTTACACCCACGCTGTATCTGTGTTTAATGAAGCAAAGATCGCACATACCCATGCAAACCAGATTCGACTGCGTAGGTGTCCGGTCACGTTTATTTAATTAACCCACCATGTAGCAAGAATTTTATTTGCATGACACTGTAGTCGGACCATCTCCACACAATTGGCAATTAGAGACACCTTTTACATAGACAACCCCATTAAGCATCTCATTCGAATTAAACTGCATTACATCAGTACGGTCATCCACATCCACATAACCTATGCAATCCTCTTTTATTTTTGTTTCTAATTTAAATAAATTAATTAGCAGCACCTAATTGGTTTAGTACTTTGATCCGGCAAAATATCTCTCTGTAGGGCGTCAGTAGTAGCCACTATAAAAATGGGCCCAAAGAATAGTCTATTTTAAATATTCGCGCATCTGCCATGTCGATTTCATTGCATCACATGTATTCTCAAGCCATAGATCGAATCCTGAAATGCCACTATACACTGGATGAATAGCTACATTAAGAAAAAAAAATCGGCACAATCTATCACACCCACTGAACGGACCTGGACGAAACGTGTTTCCTCCACGCTTATAAATACCATACCAAATTTCCACTGCTGCTGCCATCTGACTACTAAAACCTGAAGCGGAATAAACTTTAAGCTAAGGCCAAATTCTACTAATCCAATAACTTCAAAAATCTATCAGTGATCGCGTTTTCCATTTCAATTGCAAGGAAATAAACTCAATCCTTCTCAGCAGAAGGAGCAGCCCACAATAAATTGTTCATAAGCATATTCAATAGGATGGTTCTGTAAAAAGTAGAAAATGAAGCTTGCTAGAACACTTCCTCCACCATCCTCTACATGGGATGTGATTGTGTTCTTTGCCCTTCCATTAATCGGTATTAATTCATAATTCTACAACCACCATCTGAAAACAAAACAAGCAAACACACATCAAATGCAAAACCAAAATTATAAAAGAGCCCTTCAAACTTAAGACTACTGTGTAATACAGAGTACTACCTCAGAGAACGACAGGCACCATCCAAATATTCAGGTGTCTACTAACATATCTTCGCACATCGCCAACTCGACGTGGCCCTGCAAGTTGCTATTTCCACATGCAATGCATAAACATTTCACCATAGGTTGCAGAGAGAAAGGTTTTCACCGAACACTGTCGGGGGTGAATGACAATGAGGAGCGTCTACTATCCCACACCTTTAGAGTGACTACGGCAAGTATTCATCAGGCAGCACTGTGGCAGCGTCATCCAATGGGAAATTTGGTAATTATTAAAGCTGACAAGAATTCGGCATCTTAATCACCATTAATTAATGATATAATGTTGGATTAAGTAATAGACAGATTCATTCTTGAAACACAATGAGCAGAATTGCATTAGATAGGGGATATGTGATAATTTAATACTTTGTTTTGTT